AATATTATAAATATGAGGAATTCTAGACTGATGTTATTGTAAAAGGTGATCATGTTCTGTTGTCCATCTGTTTACTTGTATGCAGGAGTCAAAGGACCTCAATGCATGAACAATTATTTAGCTGTGAACGAATGGTGAAAAGTCAGATGGACAAAAATATGTTGTGTACAGGGAAATGACTACATGGGGAAGAATTATAAAATAATAATAATCCTTGCATTTCATATAGTGCCTTATCACGTCTTCGAGACGTCTCAAAGTGCTTCATAGAATATATTATAAAGTGATGTGACTGCATATTTTGTGGGCGAAACACAGCAGCCAATTGTGCACACAGCAGTGTCCCACAAACAGTCACGATTGAAGTGACCAATTTTTTTTAAAAAAAGGAATTATTACACCCGGCAAGGCGATCCGACAATCGACTAACAACCGGGTTCCTACTTACTGCTAGATAAACAGAGGTGTGTGGATTAAGGAAACTTGCCCAACTTTTCATCCTGCCGGGAATCAAACCCAGGTCCTCTTCATTGCGAGGAGAGTGCTCTAACCACTAAGATACAGGACTCCACTTGCATTTGTAGCTCAGGAAGAGGGGCCATGCCCACCCTGAATGCAATAGTGTGCATTAACTGTTTATAGCACCACTTACCAGCTAAGAAAGAGCCAACTGCTGTTTGTTAAATACCACAACAATTAGCAGCTTGGTACATCTTAGCAACAGCGGCTTGGTACATCTCAGCACAAGTGAAGAGAGTTTGGCAGAAAATGATGGGCAAGATTGAAACTGACTAAGATGAAGCTCAGCTCCACTGTATAGTTGAGGACCTGCACATGCAATAGCCAGACGTCTTCTGTGAGGCAAGTAAAATCTTTAAGCTGCCAGTGTGATCTGCAGCTGAACTCCACTGATGGTGATTTGGCTTACTAATATTACAGCAAACTTAACTGTCCAAATGTGTAACCCCACAATATTACTGCTTAGGTTCGGAAACATCTTAACATATAATCAGAACTATCCAATTGAAACAATACACCAACAAACATTCACACCACTTTTACCGTTTACCTACTCCAGTGGAAAACACAACCCAAATGTGAATGTCTGTCATTTGGCACATTAGATTGATCAGTTTACAAGACATTTTTTTGTTTGTAAAATCTACTTTAACAAATTAAATAACAATTCAACATGATTTTCAATTACACAGAGTGTGCAGGGGTCCCAACGTGCTTGTGCCACAAGTCAATGGCTTTGCTTATAATGGCATCCGTATTCTCCTGTGGAATCTAAATGAAAACACATAATTGTAAGAATAAGGATCGGAATTCAATATTATTAATAGCAGGCATTATAATTTCCAATTATATCTGTAACTTTATAATAGATATGTAGTTTCAAAGAATTTAGAAGTTAATAAAACCCTATTAATTATCTTTGCTGTTGTGTCGACATGTGGTTCTTGCAATACTTAGACAAAATTTAAGAAATGATTGAATACTGAAATTGGAAGATGTTTATTCTGGAAGTATGAGAGCAAATGGATTAAAAGATCTTATTCATCCTAACCTTATGTTCTTGTGATTTATGGTTATTATTCTATAATATAATAATCCTTGAATATGGTGTAGCGCCTTATTACGTCTTGGAGACATTTCAAAGCACTTAACAAGATTTTATTTGTAGGCTAATATGGTAGCTAATCTGCACACATTAATGTCCCACAAACAACCATGAAGTGAGTGCCCAATTTCATCAGTGTGAATGCTGGCCGGGAGAAACTCCCTTCGCTTTTTGAATAGTGCCAGAGGATCTTTAATGTCCACCTGAACAGACAGATGAGACCCCAGTTTAACGTCCCCTTTGAAGGACAGCACCTCAAACATTGCAGTACAACCCTAACACTGCATTGAAGTATCATCACATAGGCTTGAACCCACATCCTTCTGAGTCAGAAATGAGAGTGCCACCAGCTGATGAATTCTAAACACTAACCGACAGCAGAACTAAATTACAAAAAATGTGAGTAACCATTTTAGCTCTTGTGTGCAGTTTCTTGGATCTGTATATTCCTATATTCAGCTTTACAGTTAGCATTCAAAATATAGAGAGTATTGTTATATCATCATCAAGAAAAACTAGATGATGCAGTGAGTTAGTCATGTCCTATCCTCTTTTGGAACCTGAGTTCAACTGGATCGATAGAATGAAACCCTCTTTTTGTAGTGGGGCTCAAGATAATAATTTGGGAACACTCACAAAAAGGCCACAGGATGGCTGGTTGGGGAAATGGAAAATCTCACTGGTCCAGTAGAAGGTGCTTTCTGAGATCAGGGTCAAGGTATATTTACTAAAGCTCAACTTAGAAGTGTTAAAAATTTCTTAAATCATTTCATGGGACTTTGACATACATGGCTACTAATACACTTGACAATAATCAGGGACGGTAATGTCGGGTTAGTCTGCTAACTTGGATACAGTTCATGATCTTGCTTATTTTTTTCTGATTTCAATGGAATGCTAGGATTGTTTTAGAAAAAATACAGGCGCAGACATTAGCTATAGTAAATGGTAGCTGAAATTGGATTCTCATTAGAGCTGGATTTCTGCTCCAGAACAAGGCTAGAACATTTTAAAGTTATAGTTCTGCTGGTTTAAAAATGAATCCAGAAAACTTTTATCCAAGATGCTGTGAGAATGTGAACTATATTGTTCAGAAGGCCATACTTTAGATGCAGATTCAGTCGAGATATTAAATCTTCTGCCTCTAAGATCGATTGAAAATGTACAAAATGTACAGCTTGTAAAAATGCATTTATGTAAAAATATAGCAATAAATTTGAATTAAATTATATTGAAAATATAGAAAAATATAACAATTAATGCAGCATAATTGCACCATAATGTAACTAACTCACCTATGGCAAACCAACACCTAAAAAATGTATCATGTCACAATTGATATCCATACCTTTCAACAAGAACTTGCATTTATAAAGCGCCCTTCACGCCAGACAGCATCTCAAAGCTCTTTCACAAGCCAAACAGAAATAAACTGTTTTAAACTTTAAAGGCTAGAAAAAGATATACATACTTACATTCTCAAGGAACTGTGTAATATTCTCTGCTTTATTAATCGCCATTAATTTCATCTTAAACGTTAATAAAATCTCCAGAGCTACAAAGACCAAAATTTTGCAGGATCCACTTATGATTTTGTCCCACACCCTAAAAATTCAAAATAGCAAGATATATTAGGTAATCAATAAACAATAAATAAAACTGCTCTGCTCCTATAAAGAATAATCTGGTGCAGCACACTATACGAAAAAAACATTCCCATCAATAACTATAAACCAAGATACAATGAAAATAGACCACATTGCTCAAAATCATATAATTACTAGTAAATACAGCAAAGCCTAATAAAACAAATGTTAGAATCATTTGCTATTACCTTTTAGAAATCACAACCATTTGGTTGTGTTTTGATAGCCAACACCAAAAAGAATATATTAATCTTTTGTACCACATTTCACCAATTCTAATTGTCAGTATTTATTTGAGATTCCAGACAGCTATCAATGGCATTGATGTAGATTAGCATGATAAAACTCAAGCTACTCCTCCCAATTCAATCAAAGAAGAAATATGGTACCTCCAATTAAACGCCAAATTGTCTAAGAAACTAGTTTATATACAATTATATGCCAATGAGTGAAGGCTATCGATCTCACATGTAGTCTCACTTACTGGGCACATGGATAGAAGTGAAAGTAATTGAATTTCAAAATTATGTTTAATATGGACAAAAAAAGAACAAGGGGCACAAACCCAAGGTCATTTCTTTTCTGGTGGTAGTTTGAGCTGGGGAAGTTACTGGTGACCAATAACTCACTCACCTGTTCTTATATCTGCAATTTCTGCTGCTGAATTTACTCTAAAGTAACCTTTTCAGCAGAGGTTGCAGCATTACACAGAATCCTGGTGTGTTGTGACTGAATCTCAGTACATTTGCTACTGGCGAAATGACTTGCTTTTTAGAATTTGCATAACACTAATTTTTAAGTGAAAATTATTTTGTCAGATTAGCTGCTGTCAAGGGATTAGCTATTGAATAAAGAACTGCTGTGAATCTTGAAAGTTTATGTATTTGCAATGTTTTAATTTACCCCTCAATAAAGCAATCAATTGGAGATGGAAATTTAAGCATTACAAGTTAAACACTTTGTGTCTAATATGGACCATTTGCAACCATTAAAGCAATGATCTTATTTGGAATTCATTTGATTGTATCAATATTACAAGAACACTTGTGCACTTAATCTTGTTTATGTCAACAACAACTTACACTTATTTAGCCTCCGTCCACGCAGGGTAACGTCTCAGAGCGATTAACAGTGGCGAAAACTGATTCCGAGCAAGTGGGGAATGTCTGTAAGCATGGTTGAAAAGGAAGGTTTTCAGGGGGAGGGGGCAAGGTGGAGGGATGAAGGGAGTTTTTCCAGACTTTTAGGACATGGTGGCTGAATGAGGGTGTGAGGGACAAGCAGGAGGCCAGTGACGGTCCAGCAGAGGTGGTGGATTGGGGAATCAGAAAATCGGAGAGGTAGGGAGGTGTGTAAGGATCTTGAAGTCGATCCATTCGGTGATGGGGAGCCAGTGGACCCTGGTCAGAATTGGTGAGATGGGGGTACAGAGTTTGGTCCAAGTCAGTATGCAGGCGGCAGAGTTCTGAATGAGCTGGATTTTTGAATAATGGAGCTGGGGAGACCGACGAGGAGTGCGTTTAGGTAATCCAGGGGGGATACAAAGGGACTCAACCAAGTCAGAGTCAGCCACACAGACCTGTATTCCCAGTTAACTCCAATGCCTGTAACTGGACTGTCTAATCGGTGTCTGCTCGCACTAGCAGAACTCCAGTGTCGACAGCTACTCTCTGAAGTTTTTACTTCTTTTCCTGTTTTAGAATATTACAGAGACTCGAGGAAACATTCGCTAAAAACAACAGCTCTTTATTAAGACCTAGCAACCCTGGGCTACCTTGCATGTAAGGAATACAAGAATTTAAGATAAACAACAATGAGATCAAACATAACTATCACACATAGCTATATCAACTTGCAGCACAACACTACATTAGTACAATAATTTAAACCAACCCGACAGTACAGTAGTCCTGTACACGTCAGTACATACCGGATGATGACCATTAACTAGCGACCACGAGAAGAGTCGAGCAATGCTTTTTGTGGGCGTTTGGTTCCGCCCACCATATGATGCGAATGCGAGGACTTTTTTCCGCGCCAGCGTCCATGTGTTCTTTTACCCTGCGGGCTGCTTGTTAACTGACTGTCAATCAAACAGCCCAGGTCCTTTCCATTGTTGCAACTCGGGTACCTCATGTATGCTGTTTGCTAAGGCCTACCCATTTCCCTTAATTATAGTTATTCAATATATATATATATTATTTACTCATTACTACGGACTGCAAGAATAGGATAACCATGACATTTCCCCCCTCTCGATAATTAATATGTTCGGAAAATAATATCTTGGTTATCAATCTGTAGGAGGAAAGAACTCAAAAGTCCAACAAAGTGTCTGTCACAAAACTTTCTGTTCTGTCGTATCGCTCTCCAGATGCCTGCTGCTGTTCTCTCTCTGTAAACCGCATGCACTTCAAGTCAACTAGAAGACAGAAACTTACACACAGTATCTTGTTCTGAGATTTATGCCAGTTATTACTATAAAACACATGTATAACAGAGCCACTCATTATAACTCAATTTTGATGATAATCATTAGGTCAATCCCAGAATTTAGAATACCCTTTCCAGATGATCCCATTGAACATTTGACAACTGCATTTAACTTGTCACCTCCAGGTGTTTATACAGTCCAGTTTTTGAATGGCTCCTGCATTCTCGCATCCCTCAATATCTGAACCCGGAGAAAGGGGTTGGCTCGCACGCCATTATTTCCCCAACACTCGAATGGTTTGATAAACTTGTACTCATTTGACCTGGTCAACCAAAACTGTTATTTGTTTACCACTGGAAGTGAGGATTTTTATCGTTTTAGGAATTCCACAATTTTACTGGGTTTGTGGAATTTTTCTCGTAAAGTGCCAGACCTGTAATGTATCTTCCAAGTAACCAAATCTCCTTGCTTGTAGTTACAAGTGTTCTCATAATGGTGACCTGTATTATGCTGAGTTACGATATCAGCTAAAGACTCTTCAAAGTTCTCCAGCTGCGAAGTAGAGATTTCTGTTGGCATCTGTGTAAGCAGGGTAATCATTTGTCTTCCGTGGAAGAGGTAAAACCCTGGTCTGTCACTGAGGAGTAAAACCCTGGTCTATCACTGAGGGGTAAAACCCTGGTCTGCATCCTCTCTGGATATACGTCTTTTTAAGAGCATTTTTTTATGATCTTGATCTTGATCTTTCCGGAACCCCCTGGATGGTAAGGCACTTGTAAATTATGTAGATTATGGGTCACCAACTTTATTATGTCACCGTGAAATGGCTTCCACGGTCAGACTCGAGAATTTTCATAACCCTGTTTCTGAGAATAAACTGCTCTGTTATTGTCTGGAATATGGTTTTAGCCATGTACCTCTTAGAGGGGTAGGCTATAGTAAATCGAGTCATATAATCAACGAACATGAATAGATGGCGATTACCTCTGGCTGTTTTAGGCAAGGGTCTGATAAGATCTAAGTAAACCCTCTCCCAGATGCATCCCATTTGAACATACTCGGTTTGAGTATTCCGTTTCACTGAGTTTGGATTAATTCGAATGCACCGCATGCAATCCACCATGTAGTTTTAACTTCCCTCTTGATATTGGACCACCAGTATTCCCTTAGAATTTCCTTGGTCCCTTTTACTCCATTGTGGAGACTACTAGGTCCTCGTGGGCAGTTGTAATTAAATACCCCCTTACTCGTGTAGGTGGAATAAGTTGGTTTAAAGTCTCCCTTCACCAGTACAATTCCGATCTTTCCACCAGAACCTTTTTGCCTCTGGCCCAGAAAGGAAGTTTGTCCATTTGCCCCGACTCCAGGAATGACGCTAACTTAACTAACTCAGGGTCAGTAGTAAAATCACAGTTTACTGCCCCTGTCACTGATATCTTGGCAGCCTGTGGTGGCTCGTTTCAAGTAGCATGCAGAACAAGTGAGTAGGTCTGTGCAGCTATTGCAGAAGGAGCGGGAGGGGAGACCTGCAAGATGGCGTCTCGAAGAGTCTCTAGCTCCGGCTGCATGTGGTCAAGATCTACACTGCATTCTATCTTTTTGGTGTCCAATCATATGCCAAACGTGGATTAAAGGTTTCTGTTTTTTCTCCCTGTTTGTTCTCCTCCCAAATCTGTCAGCAATATTGCTTGTGGACTGAGGGTTTTCCCTTATGGTTTGTCCATAGCCCATTTAGTTAAGTCATCCATGTAGGCTCGACACGTATAGGCTGAATCACTAACAATATCCGTGTTTGCGTCCAACAGGAGGAGCTTAAGCGCCTCCAACAAAGCAGTTACCTCAGAAGCCTGTACTCAAATACCTTTGCAGGGGATAAAGAAGTTCTCCGTCTCTTGCCAACCCATTGTCGTCCATTTACTGATAGCAATCCGAGCACCAGCCAACACCCTTTTGACATCCTGCGAAGATCGCAATATAAAACCATTAACCCTTCCACCAGGTCCCAAAGAACCGCTTCCAATGGGGATCTGCTTTCAGACAGTAAGCTGTCTAACTCCAAATCTGCTTCTGACCGAGTGTGAAACTCTTCCATGGGGTCTTATAAAAGCCCTTCCCACAAAGCCCACCTTGGCCTTGAAGCCTTTTGGCTTTTTCCTCTGCCCTGCATTGCCAATCTGATGCCGATGCATGCAGTTGAAATTTTTATTTTCTTTGCATGCTGTGCGAAATTTCTAATTTTTGCTAAAATTGTAGTGGCAGCTGAGAGATTGTTTCCTCAAAGTTGAATTTGGTTTCAGCTCGAGATAATTGGAAGCTAATGTATTTTAGAGGAATCGATTCCCCCTCTTCACAGACCCTGGCTATTGCGGAGTCAACCCCCACTTGTATCGACACCAATAAGTCCTTACCAACGACTCTAAGTGCCAGTGGTATCTCACAGAGTCTCCAGCTCCGGCTGCACGTGGTCAAGATCTACACTGCCTTCTATCTCCCCTGCCTTCGTAAGCCTTTGATATAAAGGTCTTACCAGCACAGAATAGTTAAGCACATGATTACATAATTAATTATAATGTAACATTGCCCCCAAATTCCTTGTAATGGTTTCCTATTTTGAAAAGTCACAAGTTTTCTAATTCTATCTAGATAACCCTCCTAAAAACCTACCCCATCTTCTGAGACAGTGTGGCCAATCTACTTTATATCTGCTTATCTGGCTTTTCTAAAGGTTTATGTTGAACCCCAAAGAAGCGAGCGCTTTCAGCACTCAGGTGGGTGCTATAACCTGGTCTATTTTCTCTGGAAGCCCTTTTTCTCGTACAACCATTCACTTAATTTCGCTAAGTGCCATGATCAAACTATCCCACTCGGGGTTGATCAGGTCCCTCCAGCATTTGTTAACTATTGATTGCAAATAAATCTGCATGGCGGTTTTATTCTCTAAAACTACCAACTTTTCTATCGATATCGCTGAATCCAACCAGCTTTCAATTATTCTGAATTCAGGCATAGTCCCTGTCAAGGATTTAAGCCTTAGCACACTTGGTGTGTATGAGTGATTCTCCAGCTGTACGCCATTATCATTTGCCACATGCAATTCGCGCCCATCAAAACTCCCAGTCTCTCGTTTACGAGGCCCTTAGATCTCAACTGTGCTTTTAATTCTGTTATTTGGTACAGCTGCCCTGCCTCGTCTAACCTTAATTGGACTATAATTTCTTCTACTGGCAGAAGTTGATTAGACAAACTCAGCACCTCAGCCTGCATTTCTTGCAAAGCTATATTTATTTCAGTTACTTTATTTTCATATTTTTCTGAAAGCATTTGTTTCTGTGGCTTAAAAACCTGTGTTGCATTTTTTGCACTTTCTCTATATTTCTGAGTTAAATGTATTCTTGCTGTTAGCCCCGATGCCAAGGAGAAGATTGCTGCTCCCATTTCCGCCTTTAGGAGATAGTCTGCACCATTATTTAAATACAGAAACAGGTCTGCTTTTAATTTTGGAGCAGAACCAATTATCAGATGTTCCGCTGGTCCCTTTTTCCCTGGCTTTGAACTGAGTGAGTACTTTTGTGAGGTATCCCTCCCAATTTTGCTTTGTGGCCTCCTCCCATGTGGTCTCTACAACTATCCCCGCACACTCTTTCACTGCTGGTACTCTCGGTACCTCATACAAACTCTAAACTTTTTCTCTATTGATATCCCACACAGTGCGCCAAGGACCCTCCACATAGGATCTTCTTGTCTCTGAGCTAGCCGGTGATCCCCGTTCTCGAACCACAATAATGGGCTGTAAAGAGTCAGGTATAGTTTTGTCTGTACTGCTCACTCGGGTAGAGGTCAGTTTTAATTAGATTTTCTTATTTGGGTCGGTTAACCTTATGAGCTCTCTCAGCTGCAACAAAGCATTCACTCCCTCTCTACTTCTGTTACTGTAGTCAGAATTACCTCTTTGGGCCAATCCTAACATTTCAATTCCTTCAGTTCGGAGGCTCTGCCTATCCCAATCTCCATATTCCAAATATTCTATTCCTGGGTCAGACTCATTACGTTTTCTCACGCTATGACCCCGATTCTCTTCAGTTACTGAGTGTGTAGTAGCTACACCTTGTTCATATAGCCATTCCCCCATCGGAAGTGTTTCTCGGTGGGTTCGCCCTGTATGCTTCACGGAACGTGGAATGTTGCGTGTTAGTAATTTGTCCCGGTCGCTTGCTGCATCTACCATTATCTTATCCTTATACTCCAGTAGAAATAAATTCTGAAGTTCTACGTCAATGTCCTCGAGCCCCACGTTGTCACCAAGTGCGATGGTTCTCACTCCTTGTACTTGCAAATTTTAGTAACGTTTTTGTACTAAGTGGCCTCTACTCTCTCCTAACCCTCCCTGTCAGTGTGAGTTCCTGTTTCAAAGATGACTCAACCAAGTCAGAGTCACCCACACAGATCTGTATTCCCAGTTAACTCCAAAGCCTGGTAACTGGACTGTCTAATCAGAGTCTGCTCGCACTAGCAAAACTCTGGTGTCGACAGCTACTGTCTGAAATGTTTTCTCCTTTTCTTGTTTTGGAATATTACAGAGACTCGAGGAAACATTCGCTAAAAACAACAGCTGTTTATTAAGACCTAGCAACCCTGGGCTACCTTGCATGTAAGGAATACAAGAATTTAAGATAAACAACAATGAGATCAAACATAACTATCACACATAACTATATCAACTTGCAGCACAACACTACATTAGTAAAATAGATTTAAACCAACCCGACAGTACAGTAGTCCTGTACACATCAGTACGTACCGGATGATGACCATTAACTAGCGACCACGAGCATTGCTTTTTATAGGCTTTTCGTTCCGCCCACCGTATGATGCGAATGCGAGGACTTTTTCCCGCGCTAGCGTCCATGCGTTCTTTTACCCTGCGGGCTGCTTGTTAAGTGACTGTCAATCAAACAACCCGGGTCCAGCTGTTTGATATATATATATTATTTTCTCATTACTACAGACTGCAAGAATAGGATAATTGTGACAGGGAGGTGATAAACGCATGCACAAAGGTTTTGGTCGGAGGCAGGCAATGTGGTAGAGGTGGAGGAAGGCGGTCCTGGTCAGGCACCGGATGTGGGGAAGGAAGGACAGGTAGGTGTTGAATCCGACACCTAGATTGCCACTGGTTCGGTGAGTCTGAGGGAGAGCCCGGGGAGGTTGAGGAGTTCAGATCCGCAGGAGTGTGACGGGAGCCAAGGATGGGTTTCGTCTTGTCCACATCCAGCTGCAGGAAACTTGCACTCATCCAGGCCCTGATGTCTGTCAGACAAGCTGACAGAACATCAGCAGACCTGGAGTCCCATCAAACTCATTCATACTTTTTTCAATTCCATTCTGTTTCTCCCTTTGCTCAGTCTCTGCCCATTGACACCTGTGACTGCTCGGATCCCTTTTACTGTTGGGACAGTTTCAGATTTTCTGGGCACCAAAGTCTCCTTGGCATTATGGACGCTCAGTCCCTCTGCACTTTCATCCCTTAACCAAGATGGTCTACAATCCCTCAAGTGTCTTGCTATCAAGAAGAATTGTAATTTGTATCTATATTCAATTTTGCTTAAAATCACTTCTTAATTTTACCAGTAAAGCATACTGATCATGTCAAGGTTTTCCTTGCTGCTTGTAGATGGAGCAATGCACAAATGCATGCACATCCTGTGCACAGAGACCTCTTGTGAAAATGCACCCATCAAGCACTGGAAGTTGCAGTTTATGGATCGTGTAATTATACGCAACCACAATGAGTTTTAACACCTCTCAGTAACTAATGATTTCCATCTCAGATTTTCTCTCCTTATCCCTTCTATATATTCAAATGCAAGGATTATTGCTATTATTCTATTTTCTCCCAACTCCATGTTTTTAACCAGCTTCACTGATAATTCAATCACACTAACTCTGTGTCACTAACTTTGCTCTCATGCATCAGTAGACCATTATACCCAAATCTATGCTACATTGAGACATTCAAAACTAGCCCCAAGAATGAGACACAAGCATACTTGAAATCACACCATGCAACTAAGATACCTCTAGTCTTACCATATAATAGAGACCAAAAATGTTAGTATTAACTGCTCATACAATGAAGATAATAATTCTATATATTGTAATTATTGACTTGACAAACTCTTACCTACCTCTGAAGACTGGATTCAGGTAAACAACCTGCAAAGCAACACCTAAACCACAAGTCATAAGGGAGTTTATTCATGGCAGAGCATTTCTTCAAGTGGGTGTGAAGTTTGCTGTCTTCCAGGTTCAGATAATGTTCAAGACTCTTGGGCTATTTGGCAGGTTGGAAAGAATAAGAGAGACATCACTTGAAAGTAATATTGAAGGTTAAATCGTGGTCAGTAAACATGTCCACAAACAATTTTAAATAATTTTGAAGGACTCCCAATATATGTAAATGATCATCTAAGGTTAACAGATTCCACTTACATCAACCAAAGGGATCCCAGGGAAAGTGCCTGCTTCCCAATGCTGACATCCTTGCCAATTAGATAAAATGTTCAGAAAATCAAGTTAACTGATCTCAAATAAAGAGCATGCTGTATTTTATCTTCCTGTTCCTCATCTTTAGGGGTGGAGGAAACAAGAGAAAGGAAATGAACCAAGCTTTCACTTACATGATTTAAGACATATGTATACTACAAGCTATTGTTGGATTACTGAGGGCCAAGGCCTACCTGGCTTTGCTAGGCACATCTCCATCGAGTCAGTTCAGCCCAGGGAAAACTCCACTTACCTACCAACAGGAGCATCGTTTTGTAAAGGTTTCCAAGTGACCTTGAATGAGTGAAGGATTGCGTGGATTTGCTAAGAAATTAAACCCAGAACTTCCTGGTTTGAAATTCAACCAATTGAAAAATTTGAGAAAGCATTATATAACTAGCAGGTCAAACTCATTCTTAATACCAGATCTGGATGGCAAGTATAACAGGGATTATTAGTTATTGAGATGACAAACTAGTGTACACTGATAAAACAGCATATACCATATTAATTGGAGTACAGAACAACTGACTCACAAACAAATAGAGCAGTGCTGCTAGCCTGTAATAGTAGACCCTTGCAGAAACCATACAATGTTAACATGTTTTTAGTAGCATATTGCTTACCAAGTGAGGCACCGAATCTCCATATTTGGTGTTGAATTGGTTTACAAAGCACTTGACCAGCCAATAGGCATCAACATCATTTTCCACCATCTCTTCCATTGCTTCTGCTATAGCAATAAACACTTTATCCTCCGGTTCCTGGCACAAACAAAGAGCAATTTTAGCTGGCAACTTTCATTGGACCAGTATTACAAATAACCCTTATGAGGACAGCATGGAGGGATCGAGCATTGGTGTGTTAACACCTAGGACCACAGGCACAGATTTGGGTCCCACTGTCACTCAGTTCCTAATCTGAACCAGGCTAAAACGTACAATCCTAAAGAGAGGTTGCAGTGCCGCCAGTGATGGAAACAGGAAAAATGAAATTCACAGTCCTTGATGCCGCTTGGTAACCTAACAATGAGAGGTACTAATGTAGCTTGGAAGAAAACTGCACCTATCTCTTCATTCAATTGAGGACCAGATAGACAATAAAAAAGTGAACAGCCCATCCCATATATGAAATGAAAAGTCTTATAGTCACAAGATTAGTGAAAATATGAACTGATTTAAATCACACAAAGATCACAGGAGATCATAATAAATAATCCATATATTTGATACAGCACCTTTCATACAGCAGAGACATCTCAACAACAACAACAAGATTCCATTTATAAAGCGCCTTTCACGTCAGGAGGACGTCCCAAGGCGCTGGCACAAGATATACTATAAACTGCAGTGGTTTTGAAGGCAAATACATCAGCCAACTTGCACACAGCAATGTCCCAAACAGCCATGGATAATTTTATATGGGGGATTGTTGGTCAGGACACAGTAACTCCCTTCACTTTTGTAGAGCGCCATATACAGGCTTTGTTTAACTTTGCATCCTTCGTGCCTCAGCTCAACCTCCCACCTCCACCCCGTCACTTGATTCCAACCCTCAGTTCAGGTGCAAACCCTTGACTATCCAGCACTTTGGGATGTTCTCCTCAGTGAAAAGTGCTATATAAATCCAATTTGTTGTTGGCTCATCCAAAAGGTCACATCTGCATCAATGGAGTTCACCACCAACACTGCACTTAAGTTTCAGCCTCGACGTGAGCTCAAAGTCTAGATGTGGTGCTTGAACACACAATCTTTTAGAGTGCTACCAATTGGGATCGATTCACACTGTAGTATACAAAACCAGCAAGTCCAAATAACTGGATTATTTAATAAATTAGATGCCACTTCATCCAATTGTACTGACAAAACCCATTCCCACCCCAACCAAGATGTGGTTTCTCCATCAATAGAATCCAGGCTATTAATTTCATATTGCTAGAATTATTAGTTTTATATTGCTAGAATTTAGATTATACTATAATCCCAACTATTTACAGTCCCCACCTTTCACTCACTATGAAACAGTACCAGCAGCTAAGGTGAATACAACAAGAATACTTTACCGATAATATTTCAACACTAAATCGTCCTGTTACAGCTTTCATTTTGTTTAAGTCCACCATTAATTTTCCTTGGTATGAATCCTACTCTATCATGGGGTTTCAGTTAAATCACAATCAAAGTAGTTCCCATATGTCAGTGTTTGCATACAACATACACAATCACTTGACAGTGTACCCAGAGAAATAATTTGAGATGTCCTCCTGACCTGAATATCTCTATTAAGTTCTACTTTTTCTTGCTACATTCTTTTTGGGCTAAAAAAGGTATTTTAAATTGCCATTTTTGTCTTTTTTAATTGATACTAATGAAAGTTTCCTTCTTACCAAATAACTTGGGTGAACATTAAAATGAAAAGTAGTTCACAGGCCCTCATTCAAAAATATTACATGCAGATTTTTCCTAAGAGCACCACTCGTCAGTCATCCCGTCGATCAATTTCCTGGTCAAATGAATGTTCAGGATATATATTTCAGGATAGCCCAGTTGTTCACTCTGAATACATTCACTATAGTTTACAGTAAATCCTTGATGTAAAAAGCGCAAATTCAAATACAAGGATTTATTTGTTATAAAATAACGAAATTTCAATCGGTGTTAATGCCGTGAAATGTACACAAATCCAGCATCATAGCATTGTTTAATTACTAGTTTGTATCCCATCCATTCTCCTGGTCCAATTATCCCAGGTTCCTATCTCTCCTGCCTATAAGTCACATGCCCTTGTAAGCGCAGATGGCCTACCATCCATCCTCTAGATCCAGCTATCCTTATCTTCCCTGGCCATGGATCGCATTCCAGTGTACTCCTCCTAGCTCGGTACCTCTTTCTAGGACTGTGTGTGTGTGTGTGTCACATGGCAGTTTTTATTTCTTTAATTGATTCTACTTAATTCATCTATTCACAATATGATCAATACTAATGATTCTTATACTATAATCCCAACTACTTACAGTCCCCACCTTGAGAGTGAAGGAACCTTAAGGTTTCTGATCTCTCAAAAAAAAACTTTGGTTAGTAACACACATAAAAAAAATTGAATAGTAATATATTTCAAAAATTGGTTAGTAATACACATCTTGCTTTATCATGGATTATCTTCTTCTAATAAGTAAGACCAGATCCAAGTGGGATGACTGTTCTTGTAGACCGTGAACAAGAGAATGAACCCATCTTACTGCAATTATCAATGCAACGAGTATTACGATTTGAACAATAACGAACAATTGTGATAAAAGCCATAATATAGGGTGCTGTCCAACATTGTAAACTGTTCGCCACCATCTGGGTATTCCATGGTGCTTCTTGACAGAACAAGCGTAATATCTGTTATTATACAGTTTTCAACTGATTCATGTGATGCCAAAGGACATATTTCTTGGTTTTGCTATGGTATTGTAGTAAGTAAACTGAGGGGCTGGCTTTATCAATGATGGGAAAAGGCCCTTTGTACTTGGGACTGAATAGATGCTCCCTTTTCCCATAATCAAGTACCATTACTGAATCACCAATCTGGTACTCTGCTGGTTTAATTTTTTTGTCAAAGCATTGTTTCATGTTTGCCTTGGATCGTCTAATGTTTGTTGCAACAAATTGATTAGTAACCTGTATACAACCCCTCATTTTTATTACCCAGTTCTCAGTTAAGGCACTGGTTTGTATAGGTGTCTTCCTGAGAAATATCACTTCACCAGGTGATACCATGGCTCTCCTGTCATAGCCTGATGGGGAGAAATACCAATTGTGGAGTGAGTGGCATTTCTCAAAGCCATCAAACACCTAGGCAACATTTCAGGCCACTGCGCGGGGTGATCTGCAAGGAATTTCTTAATCAATGTCTTCAAGGTCTGATTTCCCCGCTCCACCACTCCTGAAGACTAGGGTTGGTGTGAGATGTGCAATTTCTGTTTGATTCCCAGCATGATTTGCATTTCTGAGAAAATTTGACCTGTAAAGTGCGATCCTTGGTCTGAGTCCACTTGTACAGGTATTCCCCACCTGCAGATCACTTCGCACAAGAGGATTCGTGCTGCTGTTAGCGCAGTGTTAATCCTAGTGGGAAAAGCCTCAATCCATTTTGTAAATTTGTCTACTATTACAAGACAGTGCCTAAAACCTCCTTTTGCCATTGGTAATAGACCAATGAAATCAATCTGCACATGGGTCCATGGACCATGGGGTGGGGGTGCCGATTTAAAGAACACTCACTGTCCTCGAGGAGGGGGATTATGCTGCAAACATACCAAACACCGGTGGGTGCGCTGCGCAATATCTTCTACCACATTTGGCTACCACATACTACAAAATTCTGGAGACTGGTCACAAAGGCAAAATTAATTGTGTCGTAACGGTTGCAGAATAGTGACCGGATATAGGGTGCATGTGAAATATTGTGAATACTTCCTCTTGCAGGCTTGGGGGTATGCACACAACTGGGTTTATGTCTGGGGTCGAGTACATTAAAATTGGTTCAGAAGTACAGTCTTTATTTGTCTGGGTTGTCACAGTCAAAGGGGCTCAGTCACAGTCAGCTGGAGGAGAAGGTTTGCCTTCTTTGTGCCATTGTAACACATCAACATTACGGTTCGTATGTTGACTGTAAAGTTTGAATGTCCAAAGCAGAAGGAGCCTTTTCCACCAATGCGACCTGGAGGGCCGAGGAAAGGGGTGGCCGCAAACTTTGCAGCTTTGCCTGCATCAGAATTCCCCTGGGTGTGGGGTGCCACTATCTTTGAATGTCCTTTAACTTTTCCCAGGTTCAAAGGAGTCTTTCGAGCAGAGAGCATTTCCCAAATGGTTTGCAACAGTGGCTGGTGTATAAATGGTTTACCATCAGTCTTCCGGAAGGAATTTGACCGATGAAGAGGTAACAGAGTGACAGTGTTGACCACATAGGCGCTGTCAGACCAAATGTTTGTGGATTTGTCTGCTGTTTGATTCAAAGCCTCCTGGAAGGCAGCTAGTTCTGCACACTGTGATGAGTGCAGCTGGCATTGGTACATGATTTGTTGGTTTGGTGGAAGGATGACAGCAAACCCTGTCTGGGGCTGTCCTTTTTCGTGGAAGGAAGATCCATCGATATACACATGCTGTCCCTCTGGAAGAGGTGTAAGGCTCAAGGATGTATGTTGAAACTTGGTGCGTGGGGCTAGACACTCGTGGGGGTTTCCGTCGTATAGCAGCATATGAGGGAGAAGTGTTGTTCGTTGTGAGGTAATCTCGTTGTCCCGCTGTCCCAGTACCAAGGCCCATCGGTTCAGTCTTTGAGAGGACGCCGAAGTATCTCCGGGGCTGAGCAACAATGTCAATGAAGTGTGCGGCGAACGTAGCACCACCTTCTGGAGACTGGTCACAAAGGTAAAATGTGTAAAGGCCCAGAATGTGGCCAGCAGGTGTCGTTCAGCTCTGGTCAGTCGCACCTACCTCCAGGTGAAAAGGAGAAATCAAAGCTGTGGCTTGTACGACTCCTTGTTTTAAAGCAGCCACAGCTGCAGTGTGAACATCAGTCCAAAATTCTAGCACAGAGTCCTCTTGTCCTTTCAACAATTTGTACAGCGGTTTGGCGAGCTCAGCAAAGGATGGAATGGACCACCTTTGATATCCCTCCAGACCCAAGAATGATCGCAGGGCTGTTTTTGTTTTAGGGAGCGGCAGCCGGGACAATATTTCGATCTTTTTATCATCTGGCATACGGCCACTAGGAGGCAGTTGTATTCCAAGAAAAGTTACAGTCTTTTGTAGTAGCTGAGCCTTCTTGGGGTTCATTTTCAGTCCTGCTTCAGCCAGTCAGTTCAGTATGTCTGAATTCAAGTGTCGTAGTCAGTGGTTGCAATTAAAATATCATCCACATACTAAAACACACACTCAGAATTGATGCACCCTTTAATAATAGCAGCCATTCATTTGTGAAAGATAGTCGGAGTGTTGTGGAACCCTTGGGGCATGCACATCCAGGTGTATTGCTGGTTATCAAATGTGAACGCGAATGGTGGTGAATGTACCTTTTCGAATGACACCCTTTTGCTTTAACGAGTTAATAGTATCAGCTACGTAGGGGTGGCTATCCCGTGGTATAGGATATTGCTTGCAGGGTTTGTTCGGTGGTCCGTTAATGGTCTCAGTAGCAGCTAACTTTTCACACTCATACTTGTGGAGAGACACCACTGAGGGTTGGCCAGCAAAGATTTTTGCCACTATATTATCTGGGAACTGTATGGGGGGGTAACTTTCACCCTTTTTAATTGCAAATACCGCATGACAGTCATCAACCCATTATGGATATGCGATCTCCCCACCTCCAGTGGGATCCCCTATCCACAGGCATTGATTTGAAAAATCAACTGTCACCGCATATTTTAAAAGAGCATCTGCTCCCAATATCCCTCTCTTCTGGATCATGTTGGTCACTGACGCACTCAGTACGTCTAACGTACACCACCCACTTTCCACCGGGAAGGTTAGTTTAACATGTGTCAATTGGACCGATAACACAGCGCTCCCGTCAAACCCACACAATTCCATACATTCGTTCGTAGCATGCAAATTTTCAGTCGGAGTGTCAGAGTGTATTATAGTAGCGTCAGATCCGGTGTCAATTAACATAAGTTGCGATGGGCCTCTATTCACCACCAGTTTAACATAAGGTCTGGCTCCTAATACAGGTTCAAATGATAGACATAGTTTGGGGGAAGTTAGTGGGAAGGCCGGGAACCGTCAATTGGCCATAGTGGGGGGGGGGGGGGGGGGGGGGTTGGATTTTGGAATGTAAATCCCTGCTATGGGACACATGGGTGAGACAGACTTTATCACATCTACTTGTCTTTGCTGTGTTACTTGTCTCTACTGTGGGCTGGACCATTGCTGTTATCAGCATTACTAGCCGATTGGTCAGTACCCAGTCCCCTTTGAAATTGTTTTGACCAGTTCACAAAGTCCTCACAGGTGGGACTGGCTGCTGATGCTTTAGGTCCCTCCCTTTGGGGTGGAGCATTACTGCTGTTGCACTTCTGAGGGCAGGTCTGCGCCCAATGCCCAGTCACCACAAACATGACAGGGTGAGTTGCTTGGATTTCTGCCGGTACTGTAAGGCACATTAGCTCTGCTTTCCCCTGGCTTTCTACCCTGCTTTCGTCCCGGGTCATTATACCTGGTTTTGGCCCTTCTACATAGCATACCTCCTTTCCCCCCTCCGATCGTGGTACCTGGTCTGAAGGCTTCTGACACCTTCCCATGCTTTAACTACCATTGCGAAAAGCTTGTTTCAATAATCCTCAGGTGTCACTAGCATCCCTAGTTTATTTAGCCTGGACTTTTGGGTGGAGTTTTGTCAAGAATTTTTGTTTAACATGACCTGCCTGTGGGGATCAGCATGGATACCGTTTACCTGGGACAGCGCGAAAAGCGCGGAGAGTTGCCTATCGAATGCGGTCAGGTGCTCTCTTAAATCCTGTACAGCATTAACGAATTCCTAATCAGTGTCAATTTGATTAATCCCTAATGCCTATTCTATTTGCTCACTCACATACACTGCACTTGTTCCCATTTTAAACAGATCTGTATGGAGCCTTTCCTGTAATTTAGGGTCAATGACTTTTACCCTAACCTGCTCAAAACTGTCCAGCTCGGGCTGTCTCTGCACAAAAGCAGTCCACTCTCGTCTGAAAGTCGAGGGATGCTTTCCTGGGGAAATTGTCCCTATCTCTTTCACCAGAGTGCTGCAGTCTGTGGCTGATAAAGGTGTCGTCTGGCAAAGCGGAACTCGTGGAGTAGGAATCGGACTATTACCACTGCTCTTTCTTTGACGGGGAAGCGGTGTCAGGGTGTATCGCCTTTGCGATTCTGGGTGTGATGAGGCTTCGGAAACGGTAGAGCGAGAGAACAGAGATCGTGCCCGTCAACCTCCTATCTCAGCCGAAACCAGTACAAAGCGAGGTGACACTAGATCAGAATATCTGGGTGTTGAGGTTGAGGGTAGATTGAACTGTGCAGGGTTTAGAAGGGGAGTATGGCAGGGGGGTTGCAGTTGGGGTGAAGTTTTGCTCAGGATGGCTACCTGAACTCTACGGTTCCTTGGTTTTGGCTGGGGGGGGGGGTTACCTTAGCAGGCTCATTCATGGGTTCGGTCTCGAGAAGCAGGGCAGTTGCCACTGTTACCTCCTCCCTTGGGGCCAAAGATTCGACTATCTGATCGCTCCGGGGTGCCGTTTTGATCATTGGATCGGTGGCAGCCGGCGCGATCTGGATAGCTGATACCAACGCCCTTTTAAGATCTAGTGCTGTCTGTAATTCAGCTATTTGTTTGGCACATTCTATGTGATCAGCGGCCAAATCTACCTTTTGTCTGTTTCTCCATTTCCTCTCTTAACGCTCCCCCTGCATCTTCTAACTGGCGCTGAATTTCCTTAAACGCAGCCTCGAGTTCCATTAATCATTTCGCACTTGAAAATGCATTCTGACCCATGCTGACATGGCTATTAGATGTTGCTGCTAACGGTGCCAGTTAAATGGGAAATTTGCTTTGCCTGCTCACAATTCATAGTTTGATGGTCATTGATCTGGTTCAAGACATACTCCTCTTGGTCCTCTAACTGTTTGAGGGACTCCCTAATTACCTTTGCTAATTCCATATTCCTGGTATCTGCTCTGTTTATTAATGACCATGGCACAGTAAATCGCGTATCGCAACACTCGCTCGGCTTGCTTTTGTGAGCGAATTGTTGTGACACCCAACCCTGACATTTCATCAGGCCAATCAACAGCTCCTTCTAGTGGACTTGCATGATTCTCCATGTTCTCATAGAACCCTTCTAACCCGCATGCAGTACTTGTTTCCCTATTTTATCAATATAGATGTCTAACATAGTTGGCCCTTTTTTTCCTAACTCTTGTTAGTCTTATTCCCCATCTCCTTCACTTATTGTTTGTGTGAATATATATGTGACTTGAGTATGATTCAGTCAAACACTTGAGGTCCCTTTTGTTCGGACAGACAATATTGCTATATTGGCTCTTAGTCTTATGACCAAGACACTTGTCAGTCCCTTCGTGGTCACCAAATTTGTGAAATTGGGTTCAAGCATTTGTCAGAAACCACACCAAGGATATTATTAAACGTTTTATTAGCAATTATAAAACCACACAAGCATAAGCATCACATTACACCCGACGCATTATCATTACCTGTCATGCTTAAATGACTACTAAAGTACTAAACTCTCCCCCCAAAAAAATAATAAATTGATCATTTTCAATCCACGACTGTCTGTGGGACATTGCTGTGCGCAATTGGCTGCCGCGTTTCGCCCACAAATATACAGTCAATTCACTTTACAGCATATTCTGTGAAACGCTTTGAGACGTCTAGAAGACATGAAAAGCGCTATATCAAATGCAAGGATTATTATTATCATCATCTTAATAATACACTCAATACTAAAATTCTGAACATATATAAAAAAACATTATGTGATATATGAAATGTGCCTAAATAATGTCTAACTGTTGGTATGTATATTGGGTATGTGTTTTAGTAAGTAGGAGAGATATTACCAAGCAGGCAGGAAGTCGTGACAAAGTTCTAAGGCTGGCACAAAAGTTAAACATTGTCTCTGGCTTGCTGCTGGATGCAAACATCTCTGGCTTGCTTCTAGCTGCAAACGTCTCTGGATGGTCCACTCCGGCAAGGCTGAACTTGTCCTCTTTGCAGTGCACTCCAGCGAGAGCTAGACTTTGTCCCCTTTCTCTCCTCAGAGGCTCCCCAGAGGCTCTCCAGAAGACTCCTCAGAGGCTCTTCCGAGGCTCCTCTAAAAAAACTAGTTTGGCCATCTGTGTTCTAACTTTTTTTTTTCATGACTTCTTTCCCGCTCTCTGCACTTTCCCAGGCATTCTTTCCCTATCTTCAAGTTGTTTCTCCTTGCACCAGCTAGGGTAGCTTCTGTAAAAGAACCATACTCCTCCTATTCCATCTTATCTAGCCTGACCAAACCACCTGACTCCATGTCCCTGAAGTTTCAATCCTTCTTTCTAACTCTGTCCATGTGACCCGTTCACTTAAGTTTTTTCTCAGTTTTAATCACTAGTTTGTATCCCATCCATTCTCCTGGTCCAATTATCCCAGGTTCCTATCTCTCTTGCCCGTAAGTCACATGCCCTTGTAAGCGCAGATGGCCTACCATCCATCCTCTAGATCCAGCTATCCTTATCTTCCCTGGCCATGGATCGCATTCCAGTGATCTCCTCCTAGCTCGGTACCTCTTTACTAGGACTGTGTGTGTGTGTCACATGACAGTTTTTATTTCTTTAATTCATTCTACTTAATTCATCTATTCACTTCGTGGTCAATAATAGTGATTCTTATACTATAATCCCAACTATTTACACTAACCACTAAAGCAAAGGAAAGAGAAGCACCTGTGAATTTAGGTGATGGGAGTAAAGGTAATACCCAAATTAGTTCCTGTGAATTGTGAAAGAAATCCAGGATTGTAATCTATTAAACTATTAAACAAGTGAAAGACAAAAACCTGACACAATCCAATCAAATCAAAATTACCACGATACAACCTTTTGCTGTTTAAAACATTACTGACCAGCTGGGTTGGGCGTCGCGGTAGAATTCCCGACTCTAACTGGAACATTCGGAGGTAAATCCAAATCTGTTGGGTGGAATCACGAATAAAGCGAATAACTTGCAATGCTTGCAGCAAGTCTTGGTACTGCTCTTCCCGAAACCCCATCACAACAGAGTGGGATTCATAGTGAGGAGGAAGAATGCCTGCAGGGATATTGGACAATTTCAGTCATCAACAAAATGATACAAATCACAATATTTATACCTTCAGCAGCTGAAGTATAACATTCCGTCATTTCCAATATCATACACTATCATAGACATTCCATATCTAGGATTTATCTTTAAAATGAGCTACAATTATAAATAAATCTGTCTACAGTATCTCATTGTCTGGGCTGACACTTCACCACAGTAATGGTGGCTTGCCATTTTCAGATAAAATATTAATAGATATTATTATCATATAAGACCTTCCATGTCAGGACGATACCTTAAAGCACTATGCATGATTTACTGTATTTTGTAGGGCTATCGGCGAACCAAGTTTCCATTTGTTCTTCAAGTGGATGTTAAGGATCCCATCGCACCTTCCGCTAGGTTAATTTGTTATTTACCACTTGGTTGTTTGCGGTCCAACACAAATGCCAATACGTAAAAGTACACTTGACAGTAATTTCCTGTAAAGCACCTCAAGACTTTTCAAAGTGATAAGATATCATAAAAATGCAAGGTTCATCTCTTAATAGAGACTATTTCAACATTTCTGCAATTTAAAACAATGATCGACCATTAATTGTGTTTATTGTCTGGTCATCATGAGTCTCACCCTGAATTGTGGGATTGGAAACTACTTTGTAAGAACTGCCTTCTGTTTGGTTGGAAGGAAACTCCAATGACTATTTTTCAGCCTCTCAAAGCCAAGACATAAGAAAGATAATCTACACAGCAACCAGGAAATTTTGATAATTTTTTCAAGATCACTAGCAGGAAGCATTTCCACTCTGATTGGCAGTCCTGGAAGAGTCAGTGGATAACTCAGCAGCTTTTTAAAGGCTTCATTAAAGGTTTTATATTGCCCTGAACTGACAAGGACTAGGCTGACACCCCAATGCAAGCACTACATTGTTGGATTTGCCATCCTTCGAATTAAATGCCTCTTCAGTAGGATGTTAAACGATTCCACGGCACTACTCAAAGAGAAAGGAGTTTATCCTGGTTTCCTGGTGAATAATCCCCCAAATAAAACTGGTCATTCACTATATGGCTGTACAAAAATTGGCTTCCAGTACACCTCCAAAATACACAGTCAGTCACTTCACGTTACAGTAAATCCTGTGAAGTGCTTTTGAGATATCTTCTCAATATGAAGCATTATATCAATTACAATGAATATCACGATTATGAAAAACATACTTTTTTTAAAAAAGTATAACTATAAATATATATACGCACACACTTACATAGCGCTCTTCATGCAGGATAGTGTTTCAGAGAATGATCAAACTAAATGTACCAATAATGCAGTTTTCACTAATTAACTTGGAAACAACTTGGAGGCAACAAAAGATCAATCAAATCTGAGTTGTTACTCAACAGGAGACCAGGACTTGCTGCAAGCGTTGCAAGACTTGGCTCGAGGCCAGCGGGCGAGCGCAGGATTTTAACAGGAGAACGGAGTAAGGGCACAAGTGAGATCAGCACGCTGCGGCTGAAGTGAGGCCAGCGGGTACCGACAGGGCTCTCTCTGCCGCCTCGTGCAGACACGAGCAGTGAGCGGCAAACGAAGACGGGAACAGCGAGCAGTAAGGCCACAGGAATAGCGAATGAGCGGGCAGTGACTGGCGCGAGCGGTTGTTCTAGGTGCGGAGACGTCATTTTTAAAATCTCCCACCTGAACCAACGGTCGGAACTCGCCACATTAAGTCACTTCCACAAGGCATTTTTCAAATAAACATAGGCTAAGTACAGTTTTTACCTCTGTTATTATCCCAATCTTCTTCCCCCCCTTTCCCATCCAGTCCATTATCTCTTCCCCTCTCTGGCTTTGGTGTAGCCATGATTCGCGTTCCCACCCCTCCTGTCAATCCTGCTTCCTCCCACCGCCCCCCATCCCGTAAACTGTCCCCACAGCATTGCCCTTCAAAATGTCCACCTCCTATCTAATAAAGCCCTCACTGTCCACAAACTCATTGTTGACGAAAACGTCAACATGCTTGCTCTCACTGAAACCTGGTTCAGCCAGGTGACACCTTCCCCCTACTGAGACCATGCGACCTGGCTATAGCTTCCATCATGCCCCATGTCCCAACCATCGTGGCATTGTTGCCCTCATCTCCAGGCCCTCCACTTACTCCTCTGGATCCTTCTCCTCATTCGAGCACCTTACTCTCTACCATCCCTCCAACCACTCCTTAAAAATCCTCATCTATCATCCCCCCAAACCCTGTCCACTTTCCTCTCTGAAATCTCCACCCTCCTATCTTTCCTCTGTGTCTGTTGTGAACGCCTCATCATTTTGGGCAACTTTAACCTTCACTTCACCCCTTCTTGCTCCACATCTGCTGACTTCTCCATCCTCTCCTCCAACAACCTCCCCCTCTACATCAACGCCGCTACCCACATCCATGCCACCCACTAGACCTGGTGATCACCTGGGGCCTTACCGTCTCTGACATCACCATCATTGACAAAGACATCTCAGATCATTATTTCATCTCCCTTAACTTCTCCATCCCCCTCTGTGCCACCCACCCTACTTGCATTTCCTATCCTCCCTGGAGAAAAATCCCCCTCCATGCCTTCTCCACTGCCCTGGAGGTTTCTGAACACCTACTCCTCTGGCCCTCCTCCTGCAAAAACCTATCCTCCTCGGTCACTATCCTAAACTCCCTCTCGGACATCCTCGATACTCTTGCCCCCGTCAACTCCCGCACTACCTCTTACTCACGCAAGTCCCCTGGTACATCAGAAACCTCCGCTCCCTCAAATCTCACGTGCGCTCCACCGAATGCATCTGGCGCAAAATCAATTGAACAGTTCATCAGCAATCTGGCAAGACTGCAGCAAGACCTACTGCTTTGCCTTCGCTTCAGCTAAGTCATCCTTTTACTCCAAAATCATCTTGTGAAGCTAAGGACAACACCAGACTTCCCTTTCTACTATTAACCAACTCCTCCAACCACCCTCCCATACCTCTGCCATCCACTCCTCCAACACCAAACGTGAGAAGATGATGGATTTCCTCGAGTCCAAAGTCAAGGGGATTTGCTCTGCCGCCTCTAGCCCCTCTACCTGTACTCTGTCCCCATCTCCCACTCCTCTTCCAGCCTGCGCCCCCATTCCTTCCTCCACACTTTTGACCCTGTCTCCCTCTCTTCGCTCACCTCCATCATTTCCCGTATGAAACCCACCACCTGCTCCTTTGAACCCATCCCTACTCCTCATCTCCCAACTCCACCTCCTTGTGCCCCTATTAACAGATATTGTTAACCACTCCCGGCCTACCTCCACCGTACCCATCTCTGCTCCCTAACTACCGTCCCATTTCAAACTTTCGTTTTCAAGGTCATGGGACGAGTCGTTGCTTCCCAGCTTCGCTCTTTCCTCTCCCAGCATTCCCGCTATGAACACTTCCAATCTGGGTTTTGAGCTGCTCACAGCACAGAGACAGCTCTGGTCAAAATGACAAATGACATTCTATCCACCTGCAACCAGTTCATCAGCAGATCTCGCAGGACTGCAACAAGACTAACCGCTCTGCCCTCACCTCTGTCTCCTCGTCCTCCTCGACCTCTCTGTCGCTTTCGATACTGTCGTCCACTCTACTCATCTCCACCGCCTCTCCTCACACCTCCACCTCAACAGTTCTGTCCCTGCCTGGTTCCAATCTTACCTTTCCCATTATCTGCACTTCATGCCCACTAACTGCTTCTTCTCTAGCCCTCGCATTATCACGTATGGCGTCCCTCAGGACTCTGTCCTCGGTCCCCTCCTCTTTAATCTATACTTGCTCCCGCTCAATGATGTCAGCTGCAAGCATTGGGTCAATTTCTACATGTATGTGGATAACACTGAACTCTATTCGTATATCCTGTGAAGCGCTTTGAGAAGATGTGAAAAGCTCTATATCAAGTGCAAGGATTATTCTTATAAATCATGAGTCAGAATATTATGGCCAGTATTGGTCACTTTAGGAAAGACATCAAGGCAATAGAGCGAGTGCAGAGGATAATACTGGGGATGAGTGGTTTGGCCTATGAGCAGAGACTGGAGGATTTGGGAGTTTTTCGACTGGAACAAAGAAGATTGAGAGGTGACCTGATAGAGGTCTTTAAATTTATGAGGGGTTTTGAAAGAATCAATAGGGAGAAATTATTTCCATTGATCGTTGAGTCAGTAACTAGAAGTATCAATCTAAAATGACATTGACAAAAGAACTTTAGCTACACATTTAAAAAGTAACTATAATAAGAAAGCACAGAAATATGGTCGACCACAGGCAGTCACTGCACTTTGCAGTATATCCTGTGAAGCACTTTGGGACATTTTTCCAATGTGAAAGGTGCACTAGCAAATGTAAGAATAATTATTATTACACACAATTAAGCATTTGAAATAATTGAAAATAGGTAAGTTTACAGACATACCGAGCAATACTTTCCACACAAGAGCACGGTACATGGAGGGAAGAGGAAAACGCTGAGCAAAAGTGCACAACTTCTCAACATCTGCAAGAAAAATTTAAAAAGTGTGCTGTAATGCTTTGGTTTAAAAACAAAACAAAACCAGGTACAACAAGTATGTGCAGACTATTTGTATGAGAGGTTATTTCTTAGTGCATCCAGACATCATAGATCACGCTGCCCATTATCACCACTGTGACCTTGGAGCACTATGTCGACCTTGGAGCTTTGTTATGTCTTGAGGTATTGCTGTATCAAAATGAGCTACATCTGTGAAAACTGGGATGGTTCCACGTAAAATTTCTCATCCTCCTGGTGACCTCAATTAAACCTGAAATACACCAAACCCAGAACATAGACAAGATCTCCCAAGACTCCACAATCTGGTGCTAAGGGACGATTTACAGAATATTGAGTGTGTAGCTCAGTACAGTACTGAGAAAAATCTGTAGCAGAGCATTACCTGTATTTTAAAACTAAAAAAGATTACAAATTTCCCATGTCCAAATTTCATACAAAATACCATATCTCATTCCAACTCATCCACAATACTAAATTGCACAGCAGAGGATTTCACTTACTGTATCATATAAACTTCTACTTTAACACCAATTTATCTCAGATACACTGAAACATGTAACATTGATTTACCCAATGGATCGTCCTTCAGCAGAATCTCCAGGGATTTCTTCTCTTCAACGCCACGAAACCCAACCTTTTCATAATAGTGGGAACGGAAGTTTCTCTGTGGGTCTTCTGCCATTTTCCAATGAGAAATAAATTGTGGTGTAGTGCTTCTTAGCTCTTAAATGCCCAGGGCTTCTTAAATTCCAAATGCACCACCACAGTGGGTTAGCAATCCAATTGATGCTCTGCAGAACAGTAATTAGGAGGATATTTTAGTAAGGGATATAAAATGGCAATTGTGCACACTTAGAGAGAAGGAAAAGCACCAAATACAATTCCTACCAATTGGAATAAATATTTTACATAACTATTTTGGAACCCACAAATTTCTTAAAATCCCACTCAAAGCCAGAAATCTGCCAACATAATCTGCTACGTATTGCAGTAAGGTTTTCATACGAGGGAGCAGTTAGGTCACTTCTGTTGGCATCAGCAGTCTGGGTTAGATTGGGAAACCATCCAGATACTCTATTGTCATCTAGTGACTGGTCGCATGTATAGATGTCAGGTGTGGACAGGATTGGAGTGGATGTAATATCTGCTTTCTTGAATATTCTGCCAAAAGTGACTGTCAAGGCTCAAATATGAATAATGTGGCTGCTTGCAAGAGATCCAGAGGGCACCCTGCAGAAGTGTTATAAATGGAAAAGGCAGAACCATAGAAATTTACAACACAGATCAAGGCCATTTTGCTTATCATGTTGAAGCAGAAAGCGTAGATTCCTTCAAACACAGATTAGATCATTTTCTTTTAGGAAATAACATTATGGGACATTATAGGTAGTTTTGGGACAAATGTGCATGCGACCGCCGGGCAGGTGGAAAGCGAACTAGATGGAACTTGTTCTTTTTTCCTCTAGCATTTCTTATGTTCTGATATACTTCCTGACTCACCGACCAATACAAATCATTTCTCACTATGGACTATCAAAACCCTTCATATGATCCCCTTAACTTCCTCTGTTCCAGGACAAAAAGCTCATCCCCAGAGAGTATATTCCTATTAAATCTCTTCTGCACCTTTTCTACAGCCTGTGACATTGTCACTGAAGTCGGGTCACCAAAACTGGACACATTACTCCCAACTGTGGTTTAACAAACAATTTATAAACGTTAGGCAGAGCAAGTCAATCTAATTGAAGTCATACATAATAACAAACCTTGCATTTGATATAGCGCCTTATCACTTTCTCTATTCCAGTACAAAAAACACTCATTTTCAGAGAGTATCATAGTAAATCTTTTCTGCACCCTCTTCAAGATGTTTCAAAGCGCTTCACAGATTATACTATAAAGTGAATTGACTGTGCATTTTGTGTAATGTAGCACAAACAGTCACGGATTGAGTGATCACATTTTTTTAAAAAAAGGATCATCACCAATCGATTAACAATTGGGTTCCTATTTACTGCTGGGTAAGCAGGCAGGTGGCTTCCTTGCCTAATGTTTCCCCCTCCCCGGATTTGAACCCCAGTCCTCCGGCTTGGCTTGTAAGGCGAGTGCTCTAACCAACAGGACTCCACCATACTGCTGCCATTTCAACAACTACAACACCACCCTTCATATGGTGAGTGTCTCAGAGCGCTCAGTGATAATGTTCAAGATCCTCATCCTCACCTACAAGGCCATTCACGGCCTCGCTCCCCCCTACCTCTCCGACCTACTGTCCCCCTACCTACCTGCCCGTACCCTCCGTTCCTCCGGCTCCGGTCTGCTCCACATCCCCCGCCCCAACCGCCCCACCATCAGTGGCCGGGCCTTCAGCCTCTCAGCCCCGAGGCTCTGGAACTCTATCCCCCAGTGCCTTCGCCGCCTCCTCCCTTTCCTCCTTCAAGGCCGGTCTCAAGACCTTTCTCTGTGACCGAGCCTTCAGCTCCCCTCTCGACTCTCTTCCTCCTCCTCGCTCCCTCCCTTCCCTCCCCTCACCCTAACCATTTCCCCCTCCTCGCTCCCTCCCTTCCCTCCCTCCCCTGACCATTTCCCCCCTCCTCGCTCCCTCCCTTCCCTCCCTCATCCTGACCATTTCCCCCAATGCTCGGGTCCTGACCCAACTGTGCAGCGCTTTGGGACGTCCTCCTGACGTGAAAGGCGCTCTATAAATGCAATCTTGTTGTTGTTGTTACCGCTGACACACAATCCACGAGAGATTATAAAAATTAGCGCTCCACCTGAAGCGAAGAGAGACTAAAAAAGTTTTGCCACCGCGAAAAGCTGCATAAGAAAGATCTGTTTGTAACAAACCTGTCTCCTGCCCCGGACTCACAGCTCGGGGCTGCGGGGGGGCTTTCAGGAGGGAATTGTCTTCACCAACATTTCAGGCCCCAATGATCACCTTAAATAATAATAACCCGAGCGGCGCTCACCAGGGCCCAGGTTCACGGTCAGTCAGTCAGTCACTGCCGTCCGCCCCTCCTCTAACAAAGCCAGTGCCCGCGCCGCGTCTGCAGGGCAGCCCGGGCCCTCCCTCCCCGGGCCCTCCCCCTCCCGCTCCCCCTCCCGCTCCCCGGGCCCTCCCCGCCCCCCTTCCTCCTCCCCGGGCCCTCCCTGCCTCCCTCCCTCCCCGGGCCCTCCCCCTCCCCCCCTCCCGCTCCCCGGGCCCTCCCCCTCCCTCCCCGGGCCCCCTCCCTCCTCCCTCTCCCTCCCTCCTCCCCGGGCCCTCCTCTCTCTCTCCCCTCCGTACCTCCCCCCCCCCCGGGCCCTCCCTCCTCCTCCTCCCCGGGCCCCCCGGGCCTCTCTCTCCGGGACCCCCCGGGGCCTCTCTCCGGGACCCCCCCCGGGGCCTCTCTCTCCGGACCCCCCCCCCGGGGCCTCTCTCCGGGACCCCCCCCCGGGGCCTCTCTGTCCGGACCCCCCCCCGTGGCCTCTCTCCGGGACCCCCCCCCGGGCCTCTGTCCGGGACCCCCCCCCGGGGCCTCTCTCCGGGACCCCCCCCCCGGGGCCTCTCTCCGGGACCCCCCCCCGGGGCCTCTCTCCGGGACCCCCCCCCGTGGCCTCTCTCCGGGACCCCCCCCCCCCCCCGGGGCCTCTCTCCGGGACCCCCCCCCGGGGCCTCTCTCCGGGACCCCCCCCCCCCCCCCCGGGGCCTCTCTCCGGGACCCCTCCCCCCGGGGCCTCTCTCCGGGACCCCCCCCGGGGCCTCTCTCCGGGACCCCCCGGGGCCTCTCTCCGGGACCCCCCCCCCCTGGGGCCTCTCTCCGGGACCCCCCCGGGGCCTCTCTCCGGGACCCCCCCCCCCGGGGCCTCTCTCCGGGACCCCCCCCCGGGGCCTCTCTCCGGGACCCCCCCCCCCGGGCCTCTCTCCGGGGCCCCCCCCCCCGGGCCTCTCTCCGGACCCCCCCCCCCGGGCCTCTCTCCGGGACCCCCCCCCGGGCCTCTCTCCGGGACCCCCCCCCGGGGCCTCTCTCCGGGACCCCCCCCCCCGGGGCCTCTCTCCGGGACCCCCCCCCCCCGGGGCCTCTCTCCGGGACCCCCCCCCCGGGGCCTCTCTCCGGGACCCCCCTCCCCCCGGGCCTCTCTCCGGGACCCCCCCCCCCGGGGCCTCTCTCCGGGACCCCCCCCGGGGCCTCTCTCCGGGACCCCCCCCCGGGGCCTCTCTCCGGGACCCCCCCCCCGGGGCCTCTCTCCGGGACCCCCCCCGGGGCCTCTCTCCGGGACCCCCCCCCGGGCCTCTCTCCGGGACCCCCCCCCGGGGCCTCTCTCCGGGACCCCCCCCCCCGGGGCCTCTCTCCGGGACCCCCCCCCCGGGGCCTCTCTCCGGGACCCCCCCCCCCGGGCCTCTCTCCGGGACCCCCCCCCCGGGGCCTCTCTCCGGGACCCCCCCCCCCGGGGCCTCTCTCCGGGACCCCCCCCGGGCCTCTCTCCGGGACCCCCCCGTTCACGTGTTTAAAGTGAAGTATCCGAACGGACGGGCAGTTTCAGTTATTAAAACGTGTGAAATTGCTGTGAAAATAAAGCCCATCCGTACCCTTTGATGCAGCATTACCGAGTGATTAGCAATGGACGGTCCTGCGATACGCTATATATAGTTCACCATGAAAACAAATGACGCAAACGTACAGAAAAATAAAGAGCAGCTACAGCTCATCCAGAAGCAGACCAGGAGAGTCTGAGGGCCAAGTGCCAGTCCCGGCAGGAAACAGCTGAGCAAAGGTGTCAGTCAGTGCGAGACGAGGCAGAGAAGAGATACCGGGAGATGGTACCGTGTGTGAGTTCCACGTTAAACAGCTGATCCCGAGACATGTCCGGCGGAGGGGAAAGAGAAGGTCGTTCAGCTGCGCCTCCAAGTACACAAATTGATGGATGATGGGCACTCAACAGCGCTCAGTGCAGAGGGCCACTCAACAGAGACAGGAGACCGCCGGCAAAGGGCAAAAATGTGACGACCTGTGTAAAGCTGGAATGTGGAGTCCTGTAGCTCAGTGGTTACAGCACTCGGTTTGCAAGTGAGAGACCTGAGTCCAATTCCAGGCAGAGGGCGAAACCTTGGGCAAGTTTCCTTACTCCACACAGAGCCTAATAATAATCGCTCCAAAACAAAAACAATAATAAATTGGTCATTTTCAATCTACGACTGTTTGTGGGACATTGCTGTGCGCAATTGGCTGCCGCGTTTGCCCACAAATATACAGTCAATTCACTTTACAGTGAAGCGCTTTGGGACGTCCTCCCGACGTGAAAAGCGCTATATCAAATGCAAGGATTATTATTATTATTAAATGTAAGTGATGCGAGATGCGCTCTGCGGGACGAGGTACAGAGAAATAAGCAAAACATGGGGGGGATGACCACAGCGAATGCCTCAGACAGACAGACAGCAGAGCTGCAAACCGCACTGGGTCACCAGCACACGTTTGTAGAGGCTATAGAAGAGATACTGGCAACGGGGGCCGCCACCTCGGTAATAACCAAAAAGCCTGAACCAGTAGTACTGCACGCGGCAGTTAAAGAAACCCATAAAATTGAGTGTCCGCAAGTAGAAGTAATTACCGTAATAACGTTGTTAGACCAGATTCCCGCAGGGAAGCACCCATTAGCCTTTCACCAGGACATGGATTCCTTTGTGCAGCACCATCCTGAATTAGAAAACAAGGATTTGAAGCGCATTTTACTAGGAGCAATAGAGCCAGGGCTGCACAGACAACTTCCCGAGGAAATGTTTCTATCCGGAGTTTCATTTTTAACATTGAGGGAAGCAGTCGAGGTGGCGCTGGGTATCAACTCAGTGGATGTAGAGCGAGAACAAGGCAAACCAGGATCTTAGAGAACACCCCTTGGTATTCGATAAAAGACTTGTCGAGCTATTTGATCTGTCACAAGCTTACACCCCAGACGATGATGAGACAGACCCACATTCCCTTCCAAAATATAACTAGAAGTATCTGGCTAAACTGCACCCTAAGGTCCAATCAGGCCACTCTGAGTGGAGTGGAGAGAGATCATCTCAAAAATGACCCAGGAGTGAGATATGTGTCGGATGGGGCATACAAACACAGAGGCTGGGAAGGAGATGTGCTTCGTAGAGGGAGCGTGCCCCAGACTAAACTCTTGAGGTCTCCACACCTTGTCGCGAGCAACCGCCGGTTCAGCTATGCAGGGACCAGGGCCAGCGACAAGCAGTCCCCCGGGGATACGCTGGTTCTGCTCTGTATGTGGCCAGGACGGTCACTAGGCTCGAGGCTGCCCCCAGGGGAAATGGATTGCCACCAAGCCCTTCACCCAGCCAACCAAACCGCGATCTGATCTAATCTGATCTTTCCCAAGCCCGGTCCTCTTCTCCTCCTCCGCTGCCCTATTCACACATAGATGTAAATAATGGTCAGTTATGGATGATTATGTTGTGTATGATCATGACTCATATCATTATGGGTAATGTACTCGCTGTTGTTTAATAAGGAAAATGGGCAATTGAATGACCTATGAAACCCCTGAAGTCAGCAGTAAATTGAACCTCGCGGTCAGCAGGCTGGTACAAACTGGTTTAGAGCTATCAAAGAAGTTAGACGAAGTTATATTTTCTAGAACAAAGAACCATGTCAGAAAACGGTTTCAAGGCCAGGACAGGGAGCCTGGGATGAGGAGATTAGGAGCCATGAGAAGATCATGGGGGGCAAAGGAATGCGTGAGGGGCACCGATACAATGAACACCATGAGCAGGTTAAGATGAGCAGATCTGAAGGAAGGTAACGGTCAAAAGGTGATGTGAGTGTAAGAGTTAGTACTTTCAGAAACTGAGTGAAGTTTTCTCAGACCAGAGAGAGAACAGAGGAGGAACTCCGGTCACTCTTGCAAAGGGTTGACCTCCACAGAAACTCAAGATTGAGAACGACTCCTCAGAGGACGAGCAGGAGGGCTGAAGGAGGGAGAACCACACGGACTCCGAGTTAAAACTCAGAGACCAGCAAACTGGCAGCTCTTCCAGTCGGTCACGCTGATCACTGGAGAACTCTGGACTGCGGACTTCAGGGGAAAGATTGACTGAGGCAGAATAGCACAGCCACTCCAGAGGGAGACAGGGTAGCAGAGAGAGAGAGAGAAAAGAAAGCCTTGTCACAGACTCCAGACACCAGTTGGATGTGACCGCTGACCCAGCCTCCTTTCCCAGCCAGCACGCTGCTTCTCCCTGAACAGGGTGATTGACTGCCAGTTACCGGTAGTATAGTTTTGCACTTCCACGCATCCATGCATAAACGCGCCCTCTTTCGCTGAAAACCTTTGCTATTATGTGATTCAAACTTATGATTTATCGAGCTGTATTCGGGATTAGTATGTGACCAACTACGGGACTGTATGTGATCTATTTAGTTTAAAGTCTAATGTTCATTTAATCCTGAAGGTGTAACCAATCACTAACCACTAACTTATCCATGTTCAGTTGGAGGAAATTTTGGCTCCTCCAGGCCTTGATGACTGACAGGCAAGAGTACAGAACATTAGAGGACCTGGAATCAATAGTAGAAGGAAAAGTAGAGCAATTGTTTTTCTTGAGGGATTATTATCCGGTATGTGGAGTAAGGAGTCCTGTAGCTCAGTGGTTAGAGCACTCGCTTTGCAAGCGAGAGACCTGAGTTCAATTCCAGGCAGAGGACGAAACCTTGGGCAAGTTTCCTTACTCTACACGCCTAATAATAATCCCTCCAAAACAATAATAAAATTGGTCATTTTCAATCCATGACTGTTTGTGGGACATTGCTGTGCGCAATTGGCTGCCGCGTTCGCCCACAAATATACAGTCAATTCACTTTACAGTGTGTTCTGTGAAGCGCTTTGGGACGTCCTCCCGACGTGAAAAGCGCTATATCAAATGCAAGGATTATTATTATTATTATAAGGAAACTTGCCCAGGGTTTCGCCCTGGCAGGAATCGAATTCAGGTCTCTCGCTTGTGAGGCGAGTGCTCTAACCACTGAGCTACAGGACTCCACAGATTTGGGTGTCATCTGCATACATGTGGAAGTTAACCCCAAGTCTACAGTTGATGTTGCC